AATAATCAACAATGTATATCTGTATCTCAGATATGATGCATAAGTCGCATGAATAAACACATCGAGAATATCCTAGCCCACACACATACACCCAAATCCTCTCAAGGATATACAACTTTAGGAAGAGCGTGTGCCAACTCATGGCAGTGACGAATCCAACTCAGGAATAGTATACTAACCCTCAGCCACGATACCCGTGAGCGAATAGTGGTTTGGTCCTCACAAGGCACCAACCCCACTACAAGTGGTAAGAAATATTCAAACCCGCACAGAGTTAGAAACGCATCTACCCACTCTACGATACCGGGTCAATAGTCACCCATGTTCATCCAAACATCCACACAAGAGATACCGTACCAACCATTTTCTCAAATTACAAGTAAATCAAAAATCCCCAATTTTCACATATATTTTTCCAATGAAGTAATGCAAGGAAAATAAGCAAGAGATCATCAAATATACGATTCTTAGTGTTCAAATAAAACACTAGAGTTTTTAGAATCATGAAAAAATGACTATCAAGAAGAAAATTCCATTTTTCTCAAAAACTAAGTTTTGACATCAAAACAAGGGTTGCTATAGCTTTCAACCAATAACTTCTCTCAAGACATGAGAAGGTTTGCAAAAACAACAAAAAACAAGGATATTATAACACATATCTAAGATTTAGAAGCAAAACACATATCGATATAAACCCTAGCCTCAATGGACAAGAGTAGGAAGAAAACTCTACCTTCTTCTTCCTTAGATTGGTGTGGAGACTTGAAGCTTTGATCTTTTTCAACTTGAATCCACTCTTTAGATCTCTTGTTTTGCTCCTCCTTTCTTCCTCTCTAAGCCTCTCTAGGGTTATAAGTTTTGAAATGGGGCTCAAGAGGGTGTCCTTAAGTATTTATAGGAGGCTAAATGGTGCCCTGTACGCGAATCTGAAAGTCAGAATTCGTAAGTCACGTTCGAACATCATTTGGCGTTCGAATGTCCACAGTGCAAATTAGTGATTAACGTTCAAACGTCACTTGGGTTTCAAACTTTGGTTGCTCCCAGTATTTTTTCATTTCCATCAAAGATCTGCTGAGGCCAAAGTACTGGGACTCACTGCCGTTCAAACGTCCTCCCAGTTTTTGTTGTACCTTCCAGTGCAGTTTTGACCTATTTAAATATTGATTTAAAAATTTTTCATCAAATAAACTTTTGTAGCCCTAGAAGTCTACTATCTACTGTAAAAATTGCAGATCAGATGGACATAAGGATATAAAGTTACGATCCAAATACTAGGAAGTGTCCAAAATCCTCCCTTCCCAAATTTTGTCTAAAAATGTGTCTTCACTCCAGAATACTTCCAAACTTCTACAACATACTCTATTACCTCAACTAACATTTTATTTCTACTCATACGATATACATAGTTCATGCATACATCATTACATATATTAGCATTTCAGAAATAATCACGTTGTTATATCAAAACAAATAGAATGTGGGGGTTTACAGTATATTTATTTAATTATTTCAATATAATGATAGAAATAATATCACTGCTAGAATTGAAATTGTCAACGTGCCACACACGTGTACAAATGTGTCAAGTGATAAATCTACATTAAAAAATATTGCTAATAAATGAAATTGTATATTCACCTACTAGGAGTATGCACTGGTAAATCATTATTATAGGTTTAACAAAATGTATCTATATAAAGAACAAAAATTTTACAGAGAGTTAGAGAGAAATCCGAAATAGGACATAACAGAATTCTAAAAGAGGGCGACATAAAAAATTAAGTCTTACATTTAGCAATAATTGACCGCTTGACCTCTTAGCTAGGATAGTCTTAAGAGATCGAAGGATTGCCAATTAGACTAGATCAAATTAGTTCAATCATTTATTGTCTTTAAATTTTGAAAGAGGAGATTGTTGTAGTAGGTATGTGTGGGTATGTGGCTATTATATTTTGTCATATTTCCAATTAAACTATAAAATAGGACCTATAAATAACAAAAATCACATTTGAGGCAATTTTTCATAATATTCCAGTTCTAGACAAATTAACATATATACCGATATGATAAATATAAAATCAAAATCATTGTTAAAAATAATTCACGTGCAACACACGTGCACAATATCTAGTATATTTATATATATATATTAATTATTGTCCGTACCTAAAGACACTATGCAAAAAAAAAATATAATTGAAAGCAATGTATAACACAAAGTACCAATCAATACAGAGCCACTATTAAAAAAAATAGATAAAATAAACTCCAAAAACACTGCTCTTGGACAATATCAATCTGTGTATACAATTTGTATAATCCAAATAATAAAGAATAAGAATTTTTATTCAAAAAAAATGATTCACGACACTATCTTTCATAATATAAACTTCTCCAAAATGCTCTTCCAGTCTTGGGGATAATTTGTAAAACTCTGTTTTCATGGAAATTTGAATAGAGTACTAAAAGATTTTACTTTTTTATTTTTTGAATTGAAAAATATTTTACTTGACATCCTAGAAGATTAGAATAAGTGAGACTTATTTGCTCATTATCTAAACACCCAATAGTCCCCAAACGCAAAGCATTATGTCTCGTTCTCTTTGTATTAAAAAAATAAAATTAAATACTGCTCGCATTAATCCAAAAATTAAAATTACATAACACCAAAAAAAAAAATCATTCACTCACTCAATGAAATCATATATGAAAAAGAAAAATAACTTTCATGAAATACTAAAATCAAATATGTCAATCTAGTTCATCAGCAATAAATTTAAAAATCGTCACCGGAAAACAAAATAGTTCCCATGGGAAGAGTGAATGAATTAACCCTCCTCTTCCCCAAGAAATACAAACTAGAGAAACAAAAGTCTCCATTACAGTGGACTAGCCTAACTCGTCAGCTTGATAAACCACTTATTTCCTAGTATTCTTACTTACTTTGCTCACACACACATAGACAACTCATTCACTTCACACAGAGCTCACTTCACTCATATTTTTTAGTTTCATACACCATCAAATTATAAGATTTAGAAGTACTTCGCCCAAAATCTGACACACATGAGGAGGCATGTTAAAATATATAATAGTTGTGTTAGACAATCTCCAATGGAAATCCAAATCCTTACTCAAATTTAAGAAAAAAAAGAAAAAGAGGGTAAAATATAAATGAAAAGAAATTCAAAATTTAAAAGAGGGTAAAATATGATCATTGGATCTTTAAAGGTTGGTAAAATGTCACAATTAAAATTTTGTGTATGGATTTAAGTCTCCTTTGATTTGAGTAAAAAAAAATAAATAAGTCTCTTTTGATTTGATATGAATATGAGTCTAATATTGAAGAAGGTTCTTATGAGTTTTTTTATCCAAATTTAAATTTGAGTTTCAAAAAAATGTAAAGATCAGAGATGCTCTTACACTCACTTTAATAATTTAAATTTTTAGACGAGATTGTGATCAACAAAAGCTACCGTGTGTGGAAAATTAGTGGGCCAATATGCGTTTGTGAACTATACTCTTTTTTCGGATAAAAAAAAACTATCCTCTTTTTGCTAATGATTAAAAATATTCTTTTGATAGAATTTTGTTTTTGGGTTACTCTCTGCATGGAATGTTTGGGCTAGCATAGAGTGGTAAAACTGGTCTCCAATTAATCCTCATTTTGCAGATAAGGGTAAGCTTACATTCCATTTGGTTTTATTGTAAAGGACAAGACCTAGTGTCTTTGGGAAACTCTACGATAAAACAAGGACTACATCGAATCTTGGTGGTGATCCTGCCAAGAGAATCCCAAAATATGGGGGTATTTTTTTGTTTATAAAAGATTATGTGTAAGCCATAAACTAAGCATCTAGCAGACAAGCCCAAGAACAGAAAACCTAGTAATTAGCCAACCAAAAAGAATGGACAAATCAGTACCCTCTAAGAACTATGCCTTTGATATCATCACTGTCTAGCATAGATTCTTGTCCTTTACAAGCCCAAGATCATGACCAAGACAAATGTCTAAGATGGTGCACATAGATATTAACAAGACGGGTTTAGTAGATATACTACCTCCATTGAATAAATATGCCCTCCAATCACCACTGGCTCCCCCGTATTCAGAACTAAACTGCTGTTCTCACATCTCTGGGGCTCTTTTTGTTATTCCGTTGGCTTCTTTGAGGTAAAATTCTCTTGTGTATTCTCATTTTTTAAGAATAATTCTGTAAACCTGTTTAGCTTCTTTATGCTGTATGTTTGTCAATATAAACGGCTGTATCTTTGATCACCAGAGAATTTTGTAGAAAAGGAAAGCCTGCAAAGTTGCAAGCCCTTGGCAATAGCTGGGGGTTTCAATATCAAATAAAGTTCACTACGAATCTAATGATCACAATGCATTAGATTATCATATGAAATCTTGTTTATAAACTTTGAAAGATGAGACACACATCTGTGTCCTTAGCCTTGAAAATGGAGAAGGAAGACAAAAGGGTGTGTTTCTAATCAGAAAAAAAAATGAAGAAGTAAATGTTTATGTGGTCTTGATCAAAATCTACTCCAATATATTTTTCTTGATTTGCAAGAGATCCACTTTATAGGCAGTGGGTTCAATTTGATTTCATAACAAACAATTTATCATTGTTACATATTGAGAAAAAATATATTAATTGAACGGCAAATTCATACAGTCCAATGGTACTCTTTACCTTATAAAGTTTGTCTCCCCCTCCCCCTCCCCCTCACCAAAAAAAAATATATATATCGGCAAATTCATGTAGTTTAATAGATATTTGTTTACCATGTAAATACATAGCATAACAGCCGACAAACTCCACATTTTTTTTCCATTTTCTCGATCATTCTTTTGTGTATTTTTACATTTAATGCAAATACACTTTCATTTATGTAGAAAAAAAAAACACTTTTTCATTTATTCTGATACTAGTTTTTTTTTTTTTTTTGACATAATTCTAATATTCGTTTATGAACGTAGGATTCTTGTAGAAAATATGTCCGACCAAGCTGAAAGGGTGCTGGTGATTCAAGACACATCAAGGGCGCTCCGTACAGATGCCATCAAGTCGACCCTTCATGCATTGTCACTTAAGCCTGGTGACAAAATCAAGCTTCTTGGAGTCATTGATCATCATATCAGCACTCCTAAAACTTTTTCTATTTTTTGCTGCGGGCTACTGCGTAAGATTTTTTTTCTCTGTGTGTAAAAAAAATAACAATACCAATATTTATACAATTGTATCCTGAGATAGACTATGGTATTAAAAACTGTTTTTTAGTGTCTAATCGCAACGTACATGACACTAGATTTTTTTTATTTTGATATTTAATTTTATATTATTTTTTTCATGATTAGTAGTTGTAAATGAATCAATTTAAGAATTACCATGGAATCATTTATTGGGTATGAAAGGGAAGAGTTGTGCCCCATGCCCCCGACCCACATCGTACTTGATGATGTTTCCAATTGTGGCTTGGTTCATTGTGTATATAGAGGATAATTTATTAAAAAGTAAACATCTTTACTCCATTAATTTTATTAGGGCTGTTAGACGACGGTGAGTCCTATCAATTTGGCATTTCACATCAATTTGGTGCACATAGCTTTAAATTAAAAATTATTATTTTGAAATACACTAAACATTTGAGAGTAGTTATCAGAATGAAACATAATTCCACGGCGATTGATTTATAGTTATAGTAAATCTATACTTTCCAAATTTTACATCCAATTTTAACTTCTCAAATGATGTGGTTAAATTTTAACCAATCAATATTGTTACTAGGCTCTTATTTGTTGGTGATGGTGCCAATTCGTTTGGAAAGTAAAACTTGGGTAAAGAAGTTGGGCAGCATAGCAAGGTGCTCATAATTATAATAATCACCTAGCAACTAATACATGATTCTAAGAAATTATCAAACTTCAATATGCACAAGGAGATCAATGCATATGGGTTGATGCCAGTGATATTTCATCCAGGGGCGACCCGAGCTGCTTTTTATTTATTTTATTATTTAAAATTCAAAATTACTAATAATTTTTTTGTATGTTCTTCATGATTAAGAATTATTATATTAAATTTTTNTTATCAAACTTCAATATGCACAAGGAGATCAATGCATATGGGTTGATGCCAGTGATACTTCATCCAGGGGCGACCCGAGCTGCTTTTTATTTATTTTATTATTTAAAATTCAAAATTACAAATAATTTTTTTGTATGTTCTTCATGATTAAGAATTATTATATTAAATTTTTGACCATCATTATAAAAATTTCATTTGTTATTTTTTCATCATATAATTTCAGTATCTTCTAATTATTTAAAATCTATCACTTTTTTATTTCAAAACTTTTACTTAAATTATTAGCTATTTTTTTATTACTAATAATAAATTTATTAAGAGATCTTTTTTTTTTTTATGATTCAATAAGTTTGTCAATTATTCTCTCTTTTTTTAAGTTCTTTATATTTGAATTGTTGGTTTTTAGTAGCCACAGTTTGTTGACAATCCATTTTTTTTTATAAATCAATCAAATACTCTTTATTAAAAACTTAATAAAAATCAAAATTATAAAACAATAACACTTAATTTTATTATTAGTGTTCCTAAAATTTAGGATATTATAATATGAATAAATTGATTGAAACTATGTTTTGTACAAAATAATATTGAAAAAGAAAAAAAGCGAGTATAAAATAATATATCGAGACTGATTTGATAACCTTTGTTGTGTGAATTAGAAAGACGGTCACAAGCCAAAGGTGAGAGAGAATCCTTTATTTTGTTTTTAGTTGGAAACAAAAATTAATTTTGTGTGTGTGTGTGTGTGTGTGAGAGAGAGAGAGAGGGGGGTTGATGTTTTAAANTATTATTAGTGTTCCTAAAATTTAGGATATTATAATATGAATAAATTGATTGAAACTCTGTTTTGTACAAAATAATATTGAAAAAGAAAAAAAGCGAGTATAAAATAATATATCGAGACTGATTTGATAACCTTCGTTGTGTGAATTAGAAAGACGGTCACAAGCCAAAGGTGAGAGAGAATCCTTTATTTTGTTTTTAGTTGGAAACAAAAATTAATTTTTTGTGTGTGTGTGTGAGAGAGAGAGAGAGAGGGGGGTTGATGTTTTAAAAGGAGAGACATAGGAGAGAGAGAGTGTTTGATTGATGTAATTGACCGGTTAAAAAGAGTAATTAATGGTATTGATTATTGACTTTTTTATTTTTGCTTGTGACAGTTAAATAATTTTTTTTGCTTTTGTTAAAATTTCATGTTTTTAACCAAATGGGTTGTGAGCCTTTTATTTTGGTATGCCACAAACACTTTTGGACCCAATTTTGTTAGTTTGAACTACGTTGGGTTTTTTTGCTTGGCCTCAATTTTATTTGAGTTAAATTTTTGATTTGCATCATACCGAAAACTTATAAAAATTGGGGCCTTCATTTTAGATGGAGCCTAAGNTTGCTTTTGTTAAAATTTCATGTTTTTAACCAAATGGGTTGTGAGCCTTTTATTTTGGTATGCCACAAACACTTTTGGACCCAATTTTGTTAGTTTGAACTACGTAGGGTTTTTTTGCTTGGCCTCAATCTTATTTGAGTTAAATTTTTGATTTGCATCATACCGAAAACTTATAAAAATTGGGGCCTTCATTTTAGATGGAGCCTAAGGCGATCACTTCTTCAACCTACTTACAGGGGCTGGCCCTGATTTCATCTTGTTATTCTGTTATTACCCTTTTATGCGATTTTGTTTTCTCATTTCTTACTTAATTTTCAGTAGCATACAAGGCCAAATTGCACACAAGTGCTACAATCTCAAGCAAACTGGAAACCATCGAAAAGGATTGTACGAAAAAGCTTGAAGAGTATCAGAACCATACAGAGATCAAGGAGTTGCTTAAGCTGCCTGAGATGCAGCAGGTCATTGGTTACTTATCTTTCATCTTCTCCTTGCTTCTTGTTTGGAAAAAGAACATCCTTATCACAAGTAGACAATAGACTCCATTTGTCTTTCAAGAAATGGGTTTTTTTGTTTTTTTTTTTTTTTGAACCAGCTCCTCCTTCATGTCTTTCAAGTATAAATTCATAAATTATAGGAAAAATTATAGCAGACCCGGTTTGTCACTTATTCATTTAGACTCTTAGCATTTGAAATATTACATACAGACCCTTAAAGTTTGTACGTACATAACACTTAGACTCCTGCTGTCAATGTTCGCTAACAAATCAGTTAGTAAATCACATTCAAACCCCTTAAAATTTGTATACGTGTAATATTTAGACTCATTAAGTTTAAAATGTTATACTTAGATAAAAAAATATTTTAATCAAAGATAGAATATCAAATATTTTAAATTTTATAATCAAAATTCATGTTCTATTATATCATTTATTAATATAAAATCCTAATTAGTATACAATTATACTATTTATTGGAATAAAATTGAAACAAGGGATCAAACTGCAATAGACACAATATCTTCTATTTTTAATTGTGGTAGTTTGGTCATTTAATAGATAGTATAATTGTATATTAATTATTTTTTTTAAAGAAAAAAATAAATTTTTATTTTCGATTTTATTTCAATAAATGACATAATAGAACATAAATTTTGATTATAAAATTTAAAATATTTGATATTCTATCTTTAATTGGATTATTTTGGTCTAAGTATAATATTTTGAACTTGAGAGATCTAAATATTACACGTCTATAAACTTCAGGGGGTCTAAGTATAATTTACTAATAGATATTTTAACGAACATTAACGACAATGGTCTATGTATTATGTACGTACAAATCTCAAGGAGTCTGTATTTCAAATATCATGGATCTAAGTGATTAAATAATAAATCTTAGGAGGCCTGAGTATAATTCTCCCTAAATTATATAACACTTCTACTGCCATTTTAACCAAGCGGGATCTTCAGGTGTAGTATAAATAATTGGTTGTGCATGGTCGTTAATTTATTGTAGTTAAAATATTTCTTGAAGTTACAAAAATAAGTATAATGAAAATGTATACTGTGACTAAAATATCAAAAAATAAGTTATAAGATAATTTATTGGAACTACACTATCTGCACCGTTATTATGTTTTTATATTGAGAAGTTTTGTGGTTTATTATATAGATGACAGCTAACTCCAGACATAGCGGTTCCTTGAACTTTTTTCTAGGAATAGTGTCATACAAAACATTGTCGAAAATATTCTTTTCAACACCNATGTTTTTATATTGAGAAGTTTTGTGGTTTATTATATAGATGACAGCTAACTCCAGAAATAGCGGTTCCTTGAACTTTTTTCTAGGAATAGTGTCATACAAAACATTGTCGAAAATATTCTTTTCAACACCTTTAATTATTCAAATTAATGACACTTTCAACAAACTGCTATATTTTTAGGATCCCCTTCCCTAAGAAAAAAATAATAGAAAGACGCTCATTTTGTTGTATTCTGTCTTTTGGATGGGTAACTTCATGAATTTTTTCCATGAATGTTTAGATTGAGTTTGACATGACAGTAGAGGCTGGGAACTCATTGAAAGAGGTCGCTATACAAGCTGCCAGCAATTTCGATGCAACTTACGTGTTCCTTGACAAGTTTGTCTCAAATTCCTTCTATCCTTGTTCATATTAATGGATAAGGTTGATAAAATTGGAAAGATGATACACAAATTGAAATTATAATAAAAAAATATAACCGACATATCCTTTTACTTGAAATACTATGTTAATATTTTTCCCGAAATAGAATGATTGAATTTCTGTTTGTGAAGCATTGTATCTATAGTAGTTTTAAGCAGCTTTGGAACTTGGAAGTTTTAGTATTGAATAAACTGATGAATAATGTATTTACAATGTACTTAACATTACAAAAATTCATCGTAATTTTTAAATGACATAATTATAAAGTAACTTTAAGCACGAGTTATTGATAATTTATTTCATAAAATAGATTATTAAGGCACGAGCATTAGTCCCATAGTTTTTGGCACCAATGATTTTTATAGCAGAGATGGTGGCAACTGCATGTGTCTATTCTAAGCAGCTCGGTGCCTGTTTGTTTAAATCAAATCGAGTTGAACACCAAATTATTCAAGTTCGGGTCATTCGTTCAAATAAAATATTTGCAATCAACTCAGGATGAATGAGCTTCAAGTAGTTGTTCAAGCTTGCCGCATTATTTTGTACAAACTCACACTTGGCTTGGCTTCGTTGATTAAACGAACTGAGGTCAACTTGTTTGAGATGAAGCTCCACTTGTTTAAACATATAATCAATATATACACAACTATTATACATATACTATATTGTATTTTGTAAATACATAATATATTGCATATCTAATATTTTATGTATGTTCCAAAATGCATATAGTTCATGACATACATTATATTATATCTAGGGTTAATAGTATTTTTGGTCCGTAAAGTATATATATATTTTTCATCAATTTAGTTTTTAATGTATTAATTTTGTCAATTAAGTCCTTTAAATATTTAATTTGTGTCATTTTGGTCCTCATATAGACCGACTGCTAAGTTTTTAACGGAAGTGGTTACATGTCATTTTTTTAAAAAGTATCTCGTACCCAACATGTGTTCATTCTATTTAAAACTTAACGATTCATTTACGTGGAAACCAAAATAACACGAATTAAATAATTGAATGACAATTGACAAAATTGATACTTTGAGAACTAAACTGACAAACNTGTGTCATTTTGGTCCTCATATAGACCGACTGCTAAGTTTTTAACGGAAGTGGTTACGTGTCATTTTTTTAAAAAGTATCTCGTACCCAACATGTGTTCATTCTATTTAAAACTTAACGATTCATTTACGTGGAGACCAAAATAACACGAATTAAATAATTGAATGACAATTGACAAAATTGATACTTTGAGAACTAAACTGACAAACAATATATACTTTAGGAATCAGAAGTGCTATTAACTCTTATATATATGTTCCTAGAACAAGTCATTGCTCAAGCACAACTTATTTATTAAATGAATTTTAAAATTGAGTTGGAACACAATTCATTTAATAATTAAAGAACTTTAAAAAATTTATCGTACTTTTATTTGAGTTGTTTCCGAGCAGCCCTCCAATACGGGTATCCAAAGAAATAACTTATTGTAGACAAAAACTTTGAGGCTTTCAAGCTGCAAAACTGAAGTGTTCTTAAGGATTTTATATTCCCTATTTTTTTTTTATTTTTTTTTTGGGTATGGCAAATTATTTCAAGCTGCCGTACAAGGGATTTATTGTGGGATGCCAATGGAAGAATGACCATTACTTCTGCATCTAGAGGAATATGTTTTACGGGATATTTTTGAGACCTCATAATGTTGAGAGTCTCATGAACTGTAGAGTCCTTAGTTAAAAGCATGTAAATCAATTTCTCTCTCTCAGATTTTCTGTTAAAATTCTTCTGATAATTCATATGCTCCTAATACTGGGCAGGCACATGAAGAAGGATCGGAGGTATTTTATGGACAATCTCTCATGTGGAATATTGAGAATGAAGCAAGATGGCAGTGTTGAACATTTAAGGGAACCTAAGGCAGCAGAAATCCAAAAGATGCCCACAGCCGTAGACCAGAGCAGCCATGTTGACTTTGCAAATTCTAGAAGTAAGTAACCAACCACTATCTCTACTTGCTCCTGATTCTCCCAAAATTAGATTGAAGCATATATATTTGGAATATGATATTCAATAAATACTTTTTACGCCCTTCACTAACTGCTTAAACTTTTAGAAAAACTAGTGATTTAAAATAATATCCAAGTCTATGTGTTTTAAGTTTAATTCACACCAATTCCTCCTCTACTAGTATACAAAACAAAAAAAGAATTCACGTGATGGACGACCACACAAGAGAGGCGACGCCTGAGAAAGAGTATTAGATAGATACATATAATACACCTCCCTTTATCAGTTTTTTTAGATCAGTTGGTGGTTTAACACATGTGGGACATGTAGGGGAAGAACAAGAAGGCCTATTTGGAACATCCATATGTTCATTGTGCATGAACGTGAGGCCGAGGGTTGGGCATTTTAGGGAATTCACTTATGCCGAGCTCCAATTCGCTACGAATGGGTTTTCCCCACAAAATTTGCTGCCAAGCCACGGGAAGAAAACCTACAGAGGAGTGTTGAGTGGTGGAGAAAATATTGTAGTTAAAAAACATACTTCAGGAACAATCAAAGAGCTTCAATTTCAGACACAGGTTCTATTGCTTGGAAAGATGGCCAGACATGACAATCTTGCCATGCTGTTGGGCTCATGTTCAGAAGGTCTTAACAGATTACTAATCTATGAGTATGTCTGCAATGGTTCTCTCAACTGGCATCTATCAAGTAAGAACCACGCAAAAATTCTTTAACCTTTTTCATGAGAACTACAGTTAGTTTTGTAAATAAAGCTGGAAAATTACATGTTTGTGCTCTCATCTCACATTGTCTCCCCAACAAAATTATTTTTATCACATTGCAACTCCAACTGTGGATATTGTATTTCCTATTTTCCCTTCAGCTACAATGTATGTCACATTGTATCTCAAACTATGATTATTGGTTTAACATTGCTCCAATTATAGGCAGTATAGACTGTACATTTACAGCACATTTAGACAATTCTTATCGAAACTGTGGATGTTTCGTTATGGAGAAATGTGAAACCATAGTTGAGGAGATAATGTGAGAAAGTCAATAGCTGAGGGGGCAAAATGATATTGGAATTATTATTAAGGGGATCAAAGTATGATTTTCCCGTCAAACTAAATAAGAAGCTGGATCTAGGCTTAACAACAGGATTTTTCTAAGCATTGCTGCAGACAAAAATAAAGACCTGACATGGCCAGTAAGAATGAAAATTGCAATGGGCGCTGCAAGAGGATTAGCACATCTGCATAGCTGCAAAATTTTTGGAAGTATGAGACCAAGCAATATCCTTTTAACCCATGATTACCACGCACTGGTAAAATTCTAAAACTAAATTATTTTTCTCCTGTGGAAGAAGACTGAATGTATCAATGAACATCTCTCAAACTGTCTCGTGTGAATTGGATCAGCTGACAAACTTTGGACTCACGAGTAATCAATATGAGGGCTCTGATCAATCCTTGGAAAGCAGAGTCATTCGGACTTTTGAATACTTGGCACCAGAATATGAAGCAACTGGCAAAGATTCGAGCAAAACAGATGTTTATGCATTCGGAATTGTTCTGGTAGAGTTGATCACTGGTCGAAAAACTGTTGAAGAAACAAATGGGGAAACCTTCTTGAGATGGGTAATCACTTTGACACATTTCCGTTTCTATGGTTGAACAATGTCAAGTAAAACAGGTTGTAGGCTATTTTTAGGCTGGCAGATAAATTATATTTTTACCCTCTCAACTATTCCCATATCTTATATTACCCCTTCAACTACTTTGTTCCTCGTATAGCACCTCCAACTATAGTCATTGGTCTTACATTGCACCTTTAAACTATGATATTTTTCATATAACACCTCAAACTATATTTATAGGTTTCACATTGTCCCAATTTTAGAAACTGGCCAGGATGGTCCAATACATCTTTTGGGTGAGACCCAAGTCATAGTTGAGGGCTTTATAGTGTAAATGGTCCAAAAAGTGCAGCTCTCTAACATTTATTATTTACTACTAGAAAACTCATTTTATTTTCTTATAGGCAAGGCAACTCTTGAAGGAGAAGATTTACGGAGAATTAATCGATCCCGCTGTACTGGATACACATGACATTCACCAACTCTTTTGGATGGTTCGTGTGGCTGAAAAATGTATTAGTTGGGATCCCAATAGACGGCTCTCAATAGAAAAGGTATTCTTACTTGATCCAAATAATCATTTTACAAAAGTAAAGTCTATATTAGCATGTTTGATCTTCATTGATATTGAAAATCTGAGTATAGTGGCCGGTAGGGCTCTATGAACTGGAAATTCACTAAAAACTAGTAAAATAAAACTGAGATTCTTTTATTTTGGAGAGGCGAAAATATAACTATGGTAACAACTAATAAGGCACAAAGCAGGAACTTCTTGCTGCTGGTTTTCGTTTTGCAGCCCTGATCAGGTAAATAAAGAGTTCCTGGTATATTTATGTGGACTTCGATGTATTTCATGTGTAGATAGTCCAAAATAAGCATAAAGCTCTAAACAACATACTCAAAATATCTGAGGAACTTTTCAAAAACCAAATTCATAAATTCACCCTGTGTAAATGATACTTTGTACGCAAAAAAATTCTAAAATTCTTAATTTACACCTAAAAATAATTAAATTCTCACATTACACACTTAATCAAATAAAAAAAGTAGTAATCTAGTGGAAAATTAAATGTCCATTATTTTTTTTATTATCTTATTTCGATACATAGTTGTTTACATAATACTCAATTTAAGTATGTTCAATAGATATTTGGTATTCAGTAGAGGTATCCATNTCGATACATAGTTGTTTACATAATACTCAATTTAAGTATGTTCAATAGATATTTGGTATTCAGTAGAGGTATCCATTACCCGACCTGAAAAAAGAGGTTAGAACCCGATAGGCTCCATAGTTGGCTCGCCCGAGTCCGAACCCAATATCCTTGAAAAGAGGGCATAAGTTTGCCCCCAAACCTAATATCCAGCCCAAAGCTTGGCCCAATAGCCCAACCGAAAAAATCCGTTAAAACCCGACCCAAGAGCCTNTTGAAAAGAGGGCATAAGTTTGCCCCCAAACCTAATATCCAGCCCAAAGCTTGGCCCAATAGCCCAACCGAAAAAATCCGTTAAAACCCGACCCAAGAGCCTGTTCATCCTTCCTTTGAAAAAAAGTTATATTTTTAGACTATTAAATTTGAAATTTTAAAATAAGTTTCCCAATGTCGGAATATGAAGTTTTAAAATTTAGATACTATAAATAATGTATTTTTTTTTCATGTATTAACCATACAAGTTTTAAATGGTAGAGTAATGTAAATGATAAATAAGTGAGTAAGTGTCAATCTAATTGGGATGTCTTCATTCTGTTGGATATAATTCATCCTCTAATCAAAAATAAAATTATTCATTATTTTATTTTTANTAATACTCAATTTAAGTATGTTCAATAGATATTTGGTATTCAGTAGAGGTATCCATGGGTCGAGTTATCCACGGGTCCCATTACCCGACCTGAAAAAAGAGGTTAGAACCCGATAGGCGCCATAGTTGGCTCACCCGAGTCTGAACCCAATATCCTTGAAAAGAGGGCGTAAGTTTGCCCCCAAACCTAATATCCAGCCCAAAGCTTGGCCCAATAGCCCAATCGAAAAAATCCGTTAAAACCCGACCCAAGAGCCCGTTCATCCTTCCTTTGAAAAAAAGTTATATTTTTAGACTATTAAATTTGAAATTTTAAAATAAGTTTCCCAATGTCGGAATATGAAGTTTTAAAATTTTAGATACTATAAATAATGTATTTTTTTTTTTCATGTATTAACCATACAAGTTTTAAATGATAGAGTAATGCAGATAATAAATAAGTGAGTAAGTGTCAATCTAATTGGGATGTCTTCATTCTATTGGATATAATTCATCCTCTAATCAAAAATAAAATTATTCATTATTTTATTTTTATCTATTTTAACTTTATTTTTGATTTAAAAATATAATTTATACAAATATTAAGTTAAAAAATATTAATTATTTTTTAATAAAGTTGTATATAAAAAAGCCCACGAGTAGACCTGCTTAACAAGCCCGCCCACATGTCGGCTCAATAGGCTCGTAGGGTGGATTGCGGATAACCTATCCCTACATTAAACCCGGCCCGTCTGATAACTCACTAGGATAAGGGTTTGAACCTACATACCTAGCCCTGCCCGGCCCATGGGCACCCCTAATACTCAGTTTTCTTAAAATGGAGCAAATTACTATTTTTTTGTTTGATTAGGGGTTCAATATAAGATTTTCAATCTTTGGGGTGTAAATTGAGATATGAAAGTGTCATTTGTCAATTCACACACGAATATTTTCTTCTTTTGTAAAAAAAAAATAGAATACATACTTTATGGAATAAATTCAATTTAGCCTGATGGAATGATTTCTTGGATGGTCTTGCGACAGCTAGTGGATGCACTGACTTACATTACAAAGGTTGGAATGTCAAAGACTTCTCTCCAAAACTGAATCTGAATTGATCAAACTCACAAGCTGATTAAAATACGACGTGGGGAAGGAGTGAGATTGTTGAAGGAGCTATTATCAATAAAACTGATGTAGCTGGTCGACAAAATATTCAAATTTTAAAATTTTGAATAGTTTGTCAAACAGTAGCCATTCCCAAATGATTAGAAAAAGAGTTGAATTGAGTTGAGTTATATTTATATCGTAAATCACAATTATGAGACGAGCATATAACTATTGTTTTAAGTATTTGCTTTTAGTTGATGGAAGTGGTCGAAGGAGTAAGATTGTTGAAGAAGCAAGATTGTTGAAGAAGCTTTTCCCAGCAAGATTGATGAAGCCACTCTTGCATGACTCAGAAAAAAAGTTGAGTTGTATTTATATCATAAAACATCATTATAGACGAGCAGGTAACTACTGTTTCAAGTATTTGCTTTTAGTTGATAGAAGTGGTTGTTACATTAAGAAAAAAAAATAGGAAAAAAAAAAAACAAAATGGAATCAAGATCACCACTGCCCATTGGGGCCACTTCATGAGCCTCACCAATTGTATTTTCCCCTCCTTTTCCTAGTTCGGTGAGTTCTTTCTGCCTCTATTCACACAGCCTACAAATCTCTCTCATCCTTTTCCAAGCCCACTGAGTTCTCATTGCCTCTTTTCACACAGTTTTTAAGTCTCTTTCTCTCTCTTTCACTCACTCAATACAAATCACCAAACGAGTCCTTAATTCCAAATCATGGTGACCCAACGGATCAAATTGGTTAATCACTCCAAATCATATATGCTTCCCGACTAAATTTCCCACTCTAAATCTTCATATCTAACTACCATCTCAATTTTCTAATCATTTCTAGCTAATAAAATATGATTGTGTACGATGAATAGAGATATCTCGAATCACGTTCCCTCTCTCCATCTCTACTTCTTCCTACCTACCTCCCTCCTACTTAGTTTTTTGTAACAGTAATATTGGATTTGGGTATTTTCCAAATCATTCATGACAAGTACGCTTCATCTCTCTCTGTTATTTAACACCCCTTTCGCCTAGTTAAATGATTTGAACCAAATCGGCAGTGTGAGAGATTTTCATTATTGGAATAACGTAGGCCTTTGCATTGTGAAAAATTAATTGGAGTCAATCAATGCCTCTATTTTAATTTGGCCATTTCTTTTCTCTCTCTTTTGATGATACCACTTAAGACTTAAAA